GATGAAGGACTGGTAGAAGAATTTTCCCACCATGCTATGAGTAGAGCTGACGTTTCCATTGAATTTCACAGAACTTTGCATTCACAAAAGATGTTCTCATCCCTGCTGGAGTGGGAAAGCAAGACTATGTGAAATTCAATGGAAACGTCAGCTCTACTCATAGCATGGTGGGAAAATTCTTCTACCAGTCCTTCATCACCTTAAACGAAATTGCGTGAATACATCCCATACTACTGATTTACTGGTAGTCTCGAAACAATACTTAATGCGAAGAATACTAAATATTATTTTTCGCATTTAAGTTTTATTTCCAGACTACCAGTAAATCATCAATATGAGATGTCAGCTCAACTCATCTGATTGTGGGAAAATTCTATTGCCAGTCCTTCATCACCTTAAATGAAATAGAATTAATACATCTTAAGCGATGCCATAAAGTCCAATTCAATGTGTGCTCGTACGCTTCCCAATTCAGTTGTCCATTAATGTTCGTATAAGCAAAAAAATTCTTAAAGAATATATGCAATATGCATTATAATACATTATATATATATATATATATATATATCAACAAAAAGGATAGATTTAAAACGCCAACAACTTCGGGTTCAAGGCTTCTCATAAATAGTATGTGATGTTCGGATGACAATAAATACAGGTTAACAAAGCCCTTTGAAACACATATAATCTATGTTAATTCGGGTTAGTTACCTCTCTTTTTCTCTGTTTCTCTCTATCTATGTATCTATCTATCTATCTATCTATCTATCTCTCCATATCTTTTCTTCGTCTCTTCATACCCTGTTGATTTTTGACGGATAAAATGCATTAGAGATGGACAATTCGGCTGAAAACGGCTGTGCATCTTGCTCTTCACACCATGGCGACCTCGTGACCATCAGTTACTGTCCATCAACATCTTGGTCAACAGGAACCTGTTTGTCATCCTCGATTTTGGATGTCTTCGTCGATGCCGGTGATGGCGATGCTTGGACTTGTCCATTCTTCGTTCGAGTCTTTTCATCTCCTTTCGTAGTTGTTTATACATCAACCGGTTTTGCAAGTAGAGAAATTGCAAATCGCTAGCGTCAAGAGGTGCCGGCTTTTTCGGAGCAGGAGTTGGCGTCGTAGCTTGCGAATAAATGTCATCATATTCGCCCAAGTTCGGTCCACTCGTTCCCGCCGGATTGGTTGGATTCATCGGAGGTGCCTTGCCCTTTCCTTTGCCTCCTCCCGGACCCGGTCCCGGTGCTGATCCCGATCCCTTTCCCGGTTTCGCTGCCGGTGCTGGTCCTGGTCTGCCTCCTCTGTTT